AGATATCGGGCTTATCTCATACTTTAATTTTGACGCTTATTTTTATTCTTTATTAATTATACATTTATAATTAAATAACAAGCACATAAATTCACAAAATACTCAAATATTTCATCTTTATTACATCAAAAGAGTTACAATAGTTAACCTAGACTATTACATCGTCTAAAAATTCTTAGCCCTGAAACCCGGGCGTTACAATTCTCTCCCCCTTAGGATGATTCCGTTCCGGAATCATGCGTCAGCAAACAGATGTGGATAGCGACTCATCATGTCATCCTCTGTTTCCCAAGTGAGATTCGGCCCATTCGAATGTTTCCACTGGACTAGCACTAAGTCGACCATCTTGCGTCGTAACTTCTTAGTCTTACGGTCAACAATTGCCTCGGGCTCTTCAATCAGCCTCTTGTTTTCATCCATTCTTAACTCTGAGATTGGAATTATGTCGGGAACTTCTCCCGTGAACTTCCTCAAATAACACACATGGAAGGTGTTATGAATACCATCGAGTTCTTCGGGCAATTCCAGCTTGTAAGCTTGGTTCCCAATCTTCTGAAGAACTTTGAACGGTCCAATAAACCTTGGACTCAGCTTTCCCCGTTTCCCGAATCTTATAAGTCCCTTCCACGGTGAGACTTTAAGCAAAACCGAATCCCCAACTTCGAAGGTCATTGGTCGTCTTTTCTTGTCAGCATAGCTCTTCTGACGATTCTGAGCTGCTAACATCCTTTCCCTGATCACCTTTAACTTCTCAGCAGTCTCATGGACTATCTCGGGGCCCATAAACTGCTTTTCTCCAGCTTCAAGCCAACAAGACGGCGTACGACACTTTTGCCCATACAAAGCTTGATAGGGTGCCATCTTGATGCTCGAGTGGAAACTGTTGTTGTAGGAAAATTCTACCAAAGGTAAGTGCTCATCCCAGTTACCTTGGAACTCGAGGGTACATGCTCTCAACATATCTTCAAGCGTTTGAATTGTTCTTTCGCTCTGACCATCAGTCTGCGGGTGGTAAGCTGTACTCAGACACAACTTCGTACCCAGTTCCTCTTGTAGACTCCTCCAAAACCTCGACGTGAAACGACTATCACGATCGGATACAATCGTTAGAGGAACACCGTGAAGTCTTACTATCTCCTTCACGTAAGCATTTGCAAGCTTATCCATAAACCACCTTTCGTTGGCTGCTATGAAGTGTGCACTCTTAGTGAAACGATCCACGACTACCCAAATCATGTCGTGACCGTTCTTCTTCCCGGGAAGTTTAGTCACAAAATCCATGGTGATGTCTTCCCATTTACCCATGGGTACAGGTAAAGGTTCTAAATTCCCGTACGGTTTATGATGTTGTGCCTTAACTCTTGCACAAGTTACACACTCGGCCACATACTTCGCAACATCGAGCTTCATCGTCGGCCACCAGTAGTAGGGTTTTAGGTCCCTATACATTTTAGTGCTACCGGGATGAATCGAGTACATGGTCTTGTGAGCTTCTTCCATCAGAAGATCTCTTATTCCTCCCGTCTTAGGTACCCAAATCCGATCTTGGAATACCTTCAGTCCTTGACGGTTTGTACCGAATACCAACGTCCTTCCCAAACGTTCTTCCTTCCGGTCATTCTTTTCTGAAGCTTCTTCTTGAGCTTTCTTGATACTTTCCACAATTGTCGAGACAACTTCTATTCTCAACGCCCTTGGCCTTTTTCTTTCAAGATTGACTTTTCGACTTAGAGCATCAGCAACAACATTTGCTTTACCGGGGTGGTAAAGTATCTCACATTCGTAGTCCTTGAGTAACTTTAGCCAGCGTCGTTGCCTCATGTTCAACTCCTTCTGATTAAAGAGATACTGGAGACTCTTATGATCAGTGAAAAGTTTACACTTTGTTCCATAGAGGTAATGCCTCCATATCTTTAGAGCAAACACTACCGCTGCCAACTCCAAATCGTGAGTGGGGTAGTTCTTTTCGTGCTCCTTCAATTGTCGAGATGCGTATGCTATCACCTTTTCTCTTTGGGTCAGAACACAACCCAACCCGGTTCCAGATGCGTCACTATAGACCACGAAGTCTTCAACTCCATCGGGTAGAGAAAGAATCGGTGCTTCACATAACTTCTTCTTTAGCTTCTCGAATGCTTCTTCGTGTTTCTCACTCCAGGTATAAGTAGCTCCTTTGTGGGTCAAAGCTGTCAATGGAGCAGCTATCGAAGAAAAGCATTGGATAAATCGTCGGTAGTATCCGGCTAATCCTAGAAAGCTTCGAATCTCCGTGGGACTCTTTGGACGTTCCCACTTCATTACAGCTTCGGTTTTTGCTGGGTCAACCATTATTCCTTCCTGGTTAACCACATGACCCAAGAATTGGACTTCTCGGATCCAAAAATCACACTTGGAGAACTTTGCATACAGCTTCTCCTTCTTCAAGACTTCCAACACTTCTCGTAGGTGTTGGCCATGCTCCTCCTTCCTTTTCGAGTAGATGAGAATGTCATCTATGAACACTATCACAGACTTATCGAGGAATGGTTTACAAACCCTGTTCATCAAATCCATGAATGCTGCTGGAGCATTGGTTAGTCCAAAAGACATAACCAAGAACTCGTAGTGTTCATATCTTGTTCTGAATGCAGTCTTTTCGATATCCTGCTCTCTCACCTTCAGCTGATAATATCCTGACCTAAGATCGATCTTTGAGAAATAGCTCGAACCTTGCAGCTGATCGAATAGGTCATCAATCCTTGGCAATGGATACTTGTTCTTCACTGTTGCCTTGTTCAGCTCTCGGTAGTCTATACACATTCTCATGCTTCCGTCTTTCTTCTTCACGAATAGCACCGAAGCTCCCCAGGGTGATGAACTAGGTCTGATAAAACCGTGGTCCAACAACTCCTGGAGTTGCTTCATGAGCTCCTTCATCTCCGTCGGTGCTAATCGGTATGGTGCCTTTGCTATCGGTGTCGTTCCAGGTAACAAGTCTATACGAAACTCCACTTGTCTATCAGGTGGTAATCCGGGAAGATCTTCGGGAAAGACTTCCGGATAATCACACACAACCGGTATATTCTGCACCTCTTTGTTTTCCTTCTTAGCATCAATTACGAATGCCAAGTATGATGCACATCCCTTGGACAAACATTTTCTGGCTTTCATCAGGGAGATGATTCCAGAATTTACTCGGCGTTTGTCCCCGTACACCATAAATGACTCTTTTCCGGGTGGGTTTACCCTTACTATCTTCTTTCGGCATTGAATCTCAGCATCGTTGGCGCTAAGACAATCCATTCCCAAAACGACGTCGAAACCGTTCAACTCTATGGGCAACAACTCTTAATGGAATTCGTTTCCGTTTAGGTCGATGACGATGTTCTTAATACGATTACTAACAGGTACGAACTTGCCACTGGCAACTTCCACAATTAGGGCATTATCAAGTTTTTCTACAGGCAATGCTAATTTTCCTCCAAATCTATGCGATTCAAAGGAATAGTTTGCTCCCGAATAAAATAGTATATTGGCAGGCAATCCATTTACAAGAAAGGTACCTGAAGCGACGTCTGCTGCCTCCTTTGCAGCCTCGAGTGTCATCTGGAAGGCTCTTGCCTTCAGCTTCGGTGGAATGTTGGGTCTTCCTGCCTCCTTCTTCTTCGGACAGTCCCTCGAAATGTGCCCTTCCTCTTTGCACTCATAACAGACCTTCTTAGTGAACGTGAACTCGTTGGCATAGTGCCCAGGTTTTCCACATATGAAACAACTGACTCCTCCGTCACATTTCCCCTGGTGCTTCTTCTTGCACTTGTCGCACCATTTGGCTTCACCTCCTCCAGACTTCTGCGTACCAGACCTTGAGAACTTGCTTTTCTTGCTGAATTTCGACAACCCATCAAATTTCCTTTTCTCTCCCACCTCCGCTCTCTCCAGACCCTTCTCTCGTATCTGGGTCTCCACATTCTTAGCAGCCCAGATGGCGGCTTTCAGAGTGGTTGTTTGCTTGACCATTGGACCGAAGTCCGCTGGTAATCCGAGGGCAAACTTGTTAACCTTGGAGAGTTCAGTTGGGACGAGGTGAGGAACAAGATTCATTTTCTCTGTAAAGCTTGCAGCGTATTCAGTAACGCTCATTCTTCCCTTCTTCAGATTATGGAATTCGTTGTTGATCTCCAGAAGATCCTGCTCAGAGCAGTATTGCATCTTTAACTGCACCAGAAAATTCTCCCACGACATCTTGCTCGCTTCTCCTTTGGGCATTGAATCAGCTAGTAGCTTCCACCAGCTTAGTACTCCAGATTTCAACAGAGGAACCGCGAGAGCGGTCTTCTGCCTGTTGCTACACTCGCAACTCTCAAACATCGTTTCCATTTCGAAGATCCAGTTCATGACTTCCACCGGCGTCGGGCTTCCAGATAGACACGGTGGTTTAGATGCCATGAAATCCTTGTATTTATATTACAAAATGCTTAGCCCTGAAACCCGGGCGTTACAAAATCCTGAAACCCGGGCGTTACAAAATCCCCTCTTCACAATCTCCATAAATATAAAATCATCAGAAGCTGTTTCTTAATTGTTTTATATCTCAAATTCTTGATCCGAGCCACTAAGTTGATCATCGCAGTTATAGTAGACTGAAGAACAATCATATGACATCACCTGTATAATTCATGTTACTTTTGATTTATATTACAAAAAACCTTTATTGTTTGAATTTATTTATAAACTTAAATACCATTAAAATAGTCCAGGGACATAATGCTCATTTTCTGTATAGGGACATAATGGTAATTTTCTATATAGGGGTATATAGTTTGTGTTTTTATGTGTCTTTTTGTTTTGTTTTCTTTTTGTTTGAATGTTTTAATATACTTTATTGTATTATTGAGATTCTTTTTATATGTTTAGTACTCCAGGGACATAATTGTAATTATGTTTGTGTTTATATTTTCTGTGTGTAATTTTCTTCCATTATTTTTTCTTATTATTGTATCTGTCTTTCTGTTATAGTGACAATGGCAGATAGAAATATCACTTTGATCAAAGACTTAGACAATATGAGGGATGATTACACACTAAAAGTGTGTATCATCCGGCTGTGGAGATCAATTTCCGAAGTTAACCCCACTATTGTCAAATCAGTTGAAATGCTATTAATGGATGAGATGGTAAAATATCCTATTCCAATAACATTATTCAAAATCATTTTTTTGTTTATTTGCTCATTCCAATAATATTATTCAAAATCATTCATGGTCGAATAACTGATTTAATGTTGACCAATTTATATAAATTAAAATACAATTGTTTAACAATATATATAATATTCTTACCCTATGTGAATAGGGTACAAAAATCCGAGCAAGTGTCTACCCAAGAGATTTCCAAAGGTTTGAGTCCAAACTGAAAGAAGATCAAGCTGTTTACATCCGATCCCCCACTATAGCTCCAAACAGATACACTTTTAAAATAAGTGATGTAACCTCCAAGTTAAACTTGCATGGACGAACAATTGTTCATGAGTGTCTACAATTTCAATCCAAAACAACATATGAGTTTTCTTGTGTTTCGTTTGAAAGCATTATCTCTACAACAGCTACATGTAATAACTAAATTGGTAATTTTTCCCCCTATTTGATTGCATATTGTAATTAATTCTTTAATTGTACATCATTTTGACATATTGTATTATCATTTTGTAGATGTTATTGGTGAAGTTGTTTCATTAGGAAAGCTTGATTCCCGTGATGTCAGTAAATCTCGACATAGGCTAACTTTACAAATCAGAAACTTAGAGTAACTATAACTTTTCTTATATTATATCTTATATTATTATTATTATATATTATATTCATTAGGTTACAACTGCCATATGTTATTTTATTATTATATAATCATTTAACCAATACTATTTTTGCAGAGGTTTGCAGGTTAACGTCACATTGTTTGGAGATATTGCATACCAATTGATTTCGTATCTTGAAGCTCATAAACAAGTTGGTCGTGTGGTTGTTATTGTGCAGTTTGCAAAACTTAATGTCTATAACGGTACATTTTTTTATAAAAGGCAACCTTCCTTATTTTAGGCTTTTACATTACTCATTATTTTGACTATTTTTATTTTGTTTCATCAAGACTACCTTCCGTTAACAGTTATTTTGAACACACACGGATGTTCATAAATGCTGATCTTCCCGATATTGTTACCTTCACAGATAGGTAACAAACTATTTTAATAATTCATTGTTTTTTTTGTTTCTTTTTAATAATTTTACTAATTTCATAATTAATCTCCTAAATAAAAAACAGCTTGGTTGGATTACGAGGACTTCAAAATCCTTCTTCTTCTATGACTGTTAATAGCTCTCAATCATACAATGAATATGATGACTTTTTTAATAATCACAATGTTAAAAATGTTGTCGATTTGCTAGAACCATAAGAGGTATGTGAATAATTTAGTTGTTTTAATGTGATTTTGTTTTCTATTATTCCTTTATTATAATTGTATTGTTTTTGATGATTCTTTTTGTATTTTATATTTTTTTAGGTTGGGAAATTTATAATTGTTGGGACCATTTATGGTATCCGACAAGATATTGATTGGTATTATGATGCGTGTTCAAACTGTGGAAAGAAAGTTGATCCAAGAAATGTGTTCAACGGTCGAGATAGCGGTGATGCAAGTGTGGTTGTTGAATGCTATAATGATAAGTGTATAAATAAGGAGATATCTTCAGTTCCAAGGTTTTTTACATTTAACAAAAGTTCAACTGGACAAATTAAATACATTATTAAACATTAAACATTAAACATATTTAATATATATTTATGTGGGATATTTTTATAGGTATAAAATACCTATTCGTGTCCAAGATGATTCTGGAACAATCACACTAACTCTGTTTGATAGAGATGCTTATAAACTCTTCAAAATACGTGCAAGTGATCTCATAGAGAAAATCAAACAGGTATAATATAAATATAATATTTGTTTTATTAAATTCTATTATCTGTTTGATTTTGTTTATATTAATGTGCTTTTAACTGTAACATCCCAACCGTCATGTATCGTTAATTTTCCATTTAGATTTCATGTTTAAGGTCTACTCGACGAGTTGACGCTATGACTCGTCAAGTAGCAGCGGGCCAGGACACGTCAATTCATGAGTGACTCGTCGAGTCGGCATGGGGGACTCGACGAGTAGGAGCTGGCAGTGGAAACCCTAAGTTTCAGGGTTTTTGCACCCTATATATTGGACCATTAGCGCCTCCCACTGTCCTCTATCGCCCCTTGAGAGCCAAAAACCCTAATTTCCGTGAGTGAGAGCTTGGAGAGTGTTTTGGAGCTTTGAGAAGTGACTTTTGTGAAGGAAACTTGTAGATCAAGAGGCTAGCATCAAGGTTTTTGTGTGGATCCAGAGTGTACTTCAGTTTGGGCACGTCTTGAAGGTAATAAGTTGTTACCTTAATCTCTTTTTCTTCTAGAATCATTCATATGTGAAAACTAGGGCTTTCTTTAGTTATTCATGAAGGGATTTTGGAATGGGAGCTAGATCTGAAGTTGAAACTTCAGATCTGAACCTCTTTTGAGTCCTAAGTCCATAAAGTTTCCAGCTCTTGCAAGGATGAGACTCTCCTAAGGTGTAAAACTCCATTAGAAGCTTAGATTGGTCATTTAGAGCCTTTAGGGCCTTGCATGCGTGTAAAGTTTGCAACTTTACATGATAAACATGCCTTAGAAGCTTGGATCTGTAATCTGGAACCTTGGCATGGCTTAAAAACTGTCTGCATGGATGAAGGTCTGCAAGGACTCGGCGAGTTGCATAGTCAACTCGGCGAGTCATATGAAGATGGTCATGAACTCGTCGAGTTGATGAACAAACTCGGCGAGTCCGTTGAAGATTGCCTTGAACTCGACGAGTCGTTCGAAGACTCGGCGAGTCGGCTAGGGTTTCTCCCAATTCTTGGACACGTATGAACTCGGCGAGTTAAAGGGGAACTCGACGAGCCAATCAAGCATTTCACGACTTCTCAAGTTCAGGAAGGACTCGACGAGTCGGTGAACTACACTCGACGAGTCGAGTCAACATGGACTGTTGACTTTGATTGTGGACTTTGACTTTGACCAAGAGTTGACCAGTTGACTTCTGAGGGTATTCTGGTAATTTGGAGATTTATGAAAAAGGGTTTTATGGTAACTATAGGTGGTGGAGTTCGTGTTGGTGATTCGGGAGTTGAGCTTTCTAGTTTCAGACGACACTTGAGAGGTGAGTTATCCTCACTATACCAACATGGTCTAAGGCACCAAGGCCGGCCCTTATGGATTTGTATCCGGATTATTACATGATATGTTTATTGTTTTGCATCCTGGTAGTTAGGATGGTGATATGCTTATGCTTAGTGACCTGGTTCGGTCGATATCCTAGTTATAGGATTACGCTATGTTAGTAACCTGGGTAGGTCGGTGTCCTGGTTATAGGATGTTGCTATGCTACTTGATCTGTTAGATCGGTTTGACTGTTATTCTGATAGCATATGATATGTATGTGGACATGTTTGTTTGATTTGGGGGTTGGGTTGAGGCGGTCCTGCTTTGTGTTGAAGGCCAACATACCTAGGGCGGTCCGGATATACTACAGATCCAGGAGGGTATGCTAGTCAGACCGAAGGCCCGACGAGCGGTTCGGATAGGCTGTAGGCCCTGCGAGGCGGTCCAGACGTGCCAAAGGCTCGGAGAGCGGTCCAGATAGACTGAAGGCTTGCAAGGCGGTCAAGTTAGGCTGAAGGCTCATTATGCATGTTGTTTGCTTATATGTTTATATGACATGGTTATGAGGTTGGTATTTTGGGGGATAGCTCACTAAGCTTTCGGGCTTACAGTTTCAGTTGTTGTGTCAGGTACCTCTGGTGATCTCGGGAAGGCGAAGGCATGATCGTACCGATCCTCCTACTGTTATGATTTTTATGATTTGATAACTGGGATACTATGATAATTAGTATTTTGGAAACAAACTATGTAATGTTAAATGGTTTCAAGTGTTTTGAAAAAGTTTAATTTGGCTTGAATTTTATGGTTGTTACAAGTTGGTATCAGAGCCTTGGTTTGAGTGAATTGGAGGAACATGCGTGTAAATCCAATCTCAAATCAAGGAAAGGATTTTCAAAATGATTTTTTTTAAAAGGTTTTCAAAATAAGTAAAGGAGGATGCAGGGTGTACGATTAGCCGGAGCCAGTAAGTAGACCCCAAAATACCATACAAGTTATTTGATTATGAGACATGTTAGAACAGCATGTTAGTACTAGGCTAGGGATCTTCAGGAATTGCATGATAGAATTGCCTGATTACATGATGCCTGCTAGCCTAGGGTTTCCTTTATATGAGATTGACATCATTACTGTAGTTGCTTAGTGTATGCATCACGGTTATACATAACCGAGATCTTATAGCCTGAGAATGTTTGATTTGGCCTTATGTTCTGTTCTTGTTTGATTGGGAGCTTAGGGTAGGATTGGATATTCGAAAGTCTATAGGGTCCAGCGTTATGTATGGCTAGCATACATTAGTGCTGCAGGGTTGGTGGAAGTTTCAGGGATATGCGGGTTGTGTGAGGCCGAGAGGCCAGTTAGGAGATATTTAGCATTCCTCTAGGAGTAAGGATTGAGTGCTCTATATGTTAGGGAGTTCAGTATGCCAATACGTGAGCTAGAGTGTCCGTTGCGAGTCTCTATCGCCAATGAACACGGGATTTCTACTTCTTCGATCTATCAAGGATGTGAGTTGGAGATTTTCGGGGTGTCCTTTCCGATAGATTTGATTCCGATCCCCATGGGGGAAGCGTGTGTGATTATAGGCATGGATTGGCTCAGTCGGTTCGGTGCTATGATTGACTGCGAGGGCCAGCGAGTGGTAGTTCGAACCCCAAGTGGGGGAGAACTGATTGTATATGGCGAGGGCACCAGAGCGGGATCAGGGTTCTGTTCAGCTGCCAGGGCTCGACAGTGTATTCAGCGCAGGGTGCGCGGGTTATCTAGCGTATGTGGTAGATACGCGGGTGAGGGACCATATTTCGGTTTCCGATGTTCCGGTGGTCAGGGAGTTTGCAGATGTGTTTCCGGAGGAGTTGCCAGGGATACCTCCGGAGAGGCAGGTCGAGTTCAGGATCGACCTGGTGCCAGGTGCGGCCCCTATCGCTAAGGCGCCGTACCGATTGGCACCGCCAGAGATGCAGGAGCTGTCGTCACAGCTACATGAACTGTTAGGTAAGCGGTTCATTCGACCTAACAGTTCTCCATGGGGAGCACCGATTCTTTTTGTCCGGAAGAAGGACGGTTCGCACCGGATGTGCATTGATTATAGAGAATTGAACAAATTGATGGTGAAGAACCGTTATCCACTTCCGAGGATAGACGACCTCTTTGATCAGTTGCAGGGGGCATCTTGGTTCTCCAAGATAGATTTGAGGTCGGGGTATCATCAGGTCAAGGTCAGAGAGGAGGACGTGGAGAAGACCGCGTTCCGAACTCATTATGGACATTACGAGTTCGTGGTGATGCTGTTTGGGCTCACCAACGCTCCAGCAGTATTCATGGACCTGATGAACCGGGTCTGCAGACCGATGCTCGATCTCTCGGTCATAGTGTTTATCGACGATATCTTGGTATATTCTAAGACCCGAGAACAAACATGAGGAGCATCTCAGGGAGTTGTTGGGAGTTCTGAGACGAGAGCGGCTATATGCCAAGTTCTCGAAGTGCGAGTTTTGGTTGCGGGAGGTCCAATTCCTCGGGCACCTCGTTAACCAGGATGGGATTTTGGTCGATCCGGCCAAAATCGAGGCAGTTATGCAGTGGGAGGTTCCGAAATCTCCCTCAGATATCAGGAGTTTTCAGGGATTGGCAGGGTACTACCAGAGATTCATACAGGATTTCTCCAAGATTGCAGTACCCCTCACTCGTCTGACGAGGAAGGGGGTGGATTTCCGGTGGGGCCCTGAGCAGCAGAGGGCATTTGAGACCCTCCATCAGCGTTTATGTGAGGCTCCAGTTTTGACGCTCCCGGAGGGAGTGGAGGATTTTGTGGTATTCTCTGATGCATCCATCACGGGGACTAGGAGCGGTCCCATGCTGAGGGGACGAGTGATAGCTTATGCGTCGCGGCAGTTGAAGCCGCACAAGACGAGATACCCTACGCATGATTTAGAGCTGGGAGCGGTGGTGTTCGCTCTCAAGATATGGAGACATTACCTATATGGGGTCCGCTGTACCATTTACACAGATCACAAGAGCTTGAGACATATCATGGACCAGCCGAACCTGAACATGAGGCAGCGTAGGTGGCTGGATGTAGTCAAAGACTACGATTGCAAGATCCTTTACCACCCCGGTAAAGCGAATGTGGTGGCAGACGCTTTGAGCCGCAAGTCAGCTGGATCTTCCACCCCAGCGGTATGTATGAGGATAGCGGTAGATTCCCCGCTTGTGAGTTTGATCAGGGATGCCCATGTTGAGGGAATGCGACCAGAGAACTGGAAGTTGGAGAGGATCAAGGGCGAGAACACCCGGTTTGTGCAGGACAGTCGGGAATTATTGACCCGATGCGGTAGGGTATGGGTTCCGATGTCTGGCAGGATCAGACAGACAGTCATGGAGGAGGCTCATAAGTCTTACTTCTCTATCAGGGGCCACCAAGATGTACCGGGATTTGAGTTTGAACTATTGGTGGCCGTGCATGAAGCGAGAAATCGCTTGGTATGTTGAGAGGTGCTTGACCTGTAGGATGGTCAAGGCCGAGCACCAGAGGCCGCATGGCACGCTGCAGCCTCTAGAGATTCCCATGTGGAAATGGGAACAGATCACGATAGATTTCATTACCAAGCTGCCGAAGACGGCAAAGGGATTTGATGCTATATAGGTCATCGTGGATCGATTGACCAAGAGCGCCCATTTCTTGGCGATTCGGGAGAGTTCGTCAGCCGAGAAGTTGGCCGACATGTACGTTTGCGAGATCGTGTCTCGCCATGGGGTTCCCGTCTCCATTGTCTCCGAACGGGATGTCAGGTTTACATCCCGTTTCTGGCAGAAGTTTCACGAGGAGCTTGGCACGCAGTTGCACTTCAGCACATCATTCCATCCGCAGACTGATGATCAGAGCGAGCGGACTATTCAGACCCTCGAGGATATGTTGAGGGCGTGTGTCATTGATTTCGGTGGGAGCTGGGATTCCCACCTACCGCTTGTAGAGTTCGCCTAGAACAACAGCTATCATTCGAGCATTGGCGCCCCGCCATTCGAGCTGTTGTATGGGCGGAGATGTCGCACCCCGGTTTGTTGGGGTGAGGTTGGTAACAGGGTGATGGGACGGACAGAGTTGGTCTTGCAGACTATCGAGAAGATTTAGCAGGTTAGACAGCGGCTGCAGACCGCTCAGAGTCGACAGAAGAGTTACGCTGACCGACGTCGATCCGAGTTAGAGTTTCAGGTCGGTGACATGGTACTCCTGAAGGTCTCGCCCTGGAAGGGTGTGATCCGCTTCAGGAAGAGGGGAAAATTGGGTCCCCGATTTATTGGGCCGTTCAGGATCATTGCCAGGATTGGCAAGGTGGCTTACAGACTAGAGCTGCCGGAGGAGCTTAGTCGGATCCACAGTACTTTCCACGTTTCGTAGTTACGAAAGTGCATTGTGGACCCGGAGGCAGTGGTGCCACTGGGTGACATTCTGGTTGATGAGCGCCTGAATTATATTGAGAGGCCGGTTGCCGTCTTGGAAAGGAAAGTGAAAGTCCTACGCAACAAGGAGGTTCCGTTGGTAAAGATACAATGGGAGCATCGGAGGGGATCCGAGTGGACATGGGAATCGGAGGCTGAGATAAGACCCTCCTAAGGTGTAAAGCTCCATTAGAAGCTTAGAATGGTCATTTAGAGCCTTTAAGGCCTTGCATGCGTGTAAAGTTTGCAACTTTACGTGATAATCATGCCTTAGAAGCTTGGATCTGTAATCTGGAACCTTGGCATGGCTTAAAAAGTGTCTGCATGGATGAAGGTCTGCAAGGACTCGGCGAGTTGCATAGTCAACTCGGCGTGTCTTATGAAGATGGTCATGAACTCGTCGAGTTGATGAACAAACTCGGCGAGTCCGTTGAAGATTGCCTTGAACTCGGCGAGTCGTTCATAGACTCGGCGAGTCGGCTAGGGTTTCTCCCATTTCTTGGACACGTATGAACTCGACGAGTTAAAGGGGAACTCGACGAGCCAATCAAGGATTTCACGACTTCTCGAGTTCAGGAAGGACTCGACGAGTCGGCGAACTACACTCGGCGAGTCGAGTCAACATGGACTGTTGACTTTGACTATGGACTTTGACTTTGGCCAAGAGTTGACCAGTTGACTTCTGAGGGTATTCTGGTAATTTGGAAATTTATGAAAAAGGGTTTTATGGTAACTATAGGTGGTGGAGTTCGTATTGGTGATCCGGGAGTTTAGCTTTCTAGTTTCAGACGACACTTGTGAGGTGAGTTACCTCACTATACTAAGGGGTCTAAGGCACCAAGGCCGGCCCATTGGATATGTTATCCTAGCAGTGTTAGAAGTTGAGTATGAGTTAGTGTTGCATGCTAGTGGTTATCCAGTTAGGTAGATCTGTAGGACTACCTGTGTTGTTATATGATTATCTGCATGCTCAGTAGTTATGTTATATGTTGATATGTTATGTGGGATGGGTTGAGGATGTACTGCTTCGTGCGGTGACCAACAAACCCTAGGAGCATTCCAGATATGAGATGTGGGCCCTGTAGGCAATCCAGAATCGTACTGTGGGCTCGATGGCAAACCAGATGTGAGCTGTGTGGGCCCGGAAGGCAATCCAGACTCACACTGTGGGCCCATGGGTATTCCAGTCTGTAAAGTTGTGGACCCAGTACATGTTGTTATTGGTATATGTATTATGTGCAGTGTATCGGTATTTTGGGGAACTCACTAAGCCTTAGACTTACAGTTTCAGTTTATTGTTTCAGGTACATCAGGGGATCGCGGCAAGGCGAAGGCGTGATCGTACAGTTCCTCATATTTTTGTTTATGTTTCTGGGATACTCTGATATTATGCATTTTGAAAACAAAGTTGTAATGATTTTTACTGGTTTGAAATGTTTTTAAAAGTTTAAATTGGCTTGAATTTTTGGGTGTTACAAGATCGGTTTGACTGTTATTATGATAGCATATGATATGTATGTGGACATGTTTGTTTGATTTGGGGGTTGGGTTGAGGCGGTCCTGCTTTGTGTGGAAGGCCAACATACCTAGGGCGGTCCGGATATACTACAGACCCAAGAGGGTATGCTAGACAGACCGAAGGCCCGACGAGCGGTCTGGATAGGCTGTAGGCCCTGCGAGGCGGTCCAGACGTGCCGAAGGCTCGGAGAGTGGTCCAGATAGACTGAAGGCCTGCAAGGCGGTCAAGTCAGGCTGAAGGCTCATTATTCATGCTGTTTGCTTATATGTTTATATGACATGGTTATGAGGTTGGTATTTTGGGGGATAGCTCACTAAGCTTTCGGGCTTACAGTTTCAGTTGTTGTTTCAGGTACCTCTGGTGATCGCGGGAAGGCGAAGGCATGATCGTACCGCTCCTCCTGCTGTTATGATTTTTATGATTTGATAACTGGGATACTCTGATAATTATTATTTTGGAAACAAACTATGTAATGTTAAATGGTTTCAAGTGTTTTGAAAAAGTTTAAATTGGCTTGAATTTTATGGTTGTTACATTAACCATAACAATATTACATAACACATTTTTTCCAGGCTGGGGATACTCCAAGATTGTATCTTTATGACCTCAAATTTCTGGAGCATAAAAAGATGGCATTCAAGGTAGATGTTAATAGTTTTAACGTATCCAATAACTACAATCGGTTTGGGATACTTGGCTATACGCTTGATAGTAACGTTATCAATGCTTTGGAAAAAAAGTTAGCTGTTGAGGTATTTATATATATATATATTTTTGTTCTTAAAATATTATTTATTATGATGTGTACTTTTATTTAATGATCTTCACTAATTAATTGTAAATCTTGATGGAACAAAAACTTAATCCCACAAATTATATAAATATTTAAACTTGTGAAGCAGGCAGGTAATTCTGGAAATGCTGATGATACAGAAATCGCATCTCACGAAGCATCTCACGAAACGAAGTCGTTAAAGGTTATAATATAAACCTACATTATTTAATTTTATATAAATGTCTTTTATAAATTATTTATTGTTAATATTTTCATACTAAAGCTATTTCGTGTTTTTGCTTTAAGGACGCGATCTCACAGACCGGTGATAATTTGACCCCTTCCATGCCTGACAAATCTGAAGCTACAAGTCCGTTCAATGGTAAAAAAAACGAAACGATGGAGATACCATTGATGTTGATGAGTGTGATAATGTGAATTCGTCGACGGAAGTACCTCGCTTGAATTCCAAGGTGGATGGCAACACAGGTCTATTAATACCAAAGCTTGAAAAGTGATTTCAGATTGTCCTTTTTGAATCAACAATATTCTTGAATTTTTTTTTTGGGATTCTCTTTGGCAGTTTTGCTCTTCGTGGTGTTCAGTATTCAAACATTGATAGTTCTTGGTTTCTTTTCGTTGCTAATCTCTATCTTAAGTAAAAACTGCTTTTTGGGTTATGGCTGTAATTAGACTAATCTTCTTTTAATATATGTGTGACATATGTGTGTCTATTGATGGTGTAAAAGAAGGAAACAATTATGTTTTTAAAGATTTTTATTAGCAATATATTTGCAATAAAATTCGAAAAAATTACCAATTATAGCATTCTACTTTTCTTTTTCGTGTTATAAGTATATTTCCTCTATGAAAAAGATGTATCAAATATGAATAAATTCAATATAATGGTAAATTTTATGGGTATGAAATCGGTGCATGCATTCTTGGGAATATGTTTTTCTATAATTTGAGGTAATGTATGAAAGGAAAATTGTAATGAAGCTGTGAGATGAGATATGTCTGTGTATTGAATGTGTAACAGGAGGAAACAATGCATCATATGTCAATTTTTCCCTTTGTCAATCCTTTTGTTCAGCTCTACAATTCCCATTATTTAAATTCCAGTAAAAGTGTTTATTGATTGTATCCTGTGTTGAATTGAATAACACATCAGTTTTTACTTTAGATTCACAACTTATGGATCCGGATCATTGATATCCTTAAAACTGCGATTGATGCACTACATATGACACCAATTGTGACATGACCCTTGGGTAGCCAGTAAACCTAATATTTATGTATCATATAAGTACAACTGATTGCGATAGAATTCTTCTTTATCCGTGGTAGCCAGTAAACCTAAACAAACTTAACTCTTATTAATAATATAAATTTGTTTTTAAATTTTTTACCCATGGTTTCCATGGGTTGTAATCTAGTTATAAATAAAATAAAATAAAAATAAGTCATCTAATGGGATTTTTCATATTCTTAACCTAAGCTTGTTCAACATCATAACTCGATGTTTTGATCTCCAAATTAAAACTATGTTAAAAAAACTTATTTAGTAGTTTATATCGTTTTTTTATTTAGCAATCTATCTGATAATTTTGTCAAGGAATACACAAAACAATGCAAACATTGCAACAAAACACTTTTTATATATAAAACTTCGGGACCAACCTACATATGGGCACCGAATTTTGACTTTAAATATAACTTATTATAGAAGTTATCAACCAACATAATTGCTTCTAAGGCTTGGAAAATCAAGTGACTAGTGCACTGTGAAAGTGACACTCAAATACAAGATTGTTGCCAAAGTTGTTCAACAATACGTATCATTTGTCTCACTCAAAATCCTGAATAATGTATCAATTTTAGTGCATGATATACAAATCATTATAACATAATAATTAAAGATTTTTATCAGAATGTCTCTTGCAGTAGGAGGAACACAACAATCAAGAAACTACATTGTTCCTTACAGGCCATGACAACGAGACACTTGAATTACCTTTCCTTTCATCACCTAACAATAACATCATCCTCTTTATAGTGTTCGTGATTGAATAATTTAGTTCTTAGTATTGCTTTCTTTTTTCCTTAAAATTTGGGATTAGTAAAGTCTTTTTTAATTATAAAAATGATTAATTAGCTTATAGGTAGTAGCATGTTAATTACCCCATATTTTACTTAATTTGCTAGTGTTGTGCCAAGTCATTATTATTTGACTTGTTTTTGCCATGATATCTTATCTGGCCTAACGAGTTTAAGAAAACAACTTCGTTCTTATAAAAACAAACAAAATTAGGTGAAAGAAGTTCAATCTCTAAGTGTCTTGTTATAGAAAATGTTCCAAATGTTTCGACACATCATCAATATATCATATTTGAATATTGTCACGTTCCGCAATTTAGGTCTAAAATTGTGGCCAGTCAATTTACCGCAAATTCTATTGTAACTTGACCTATTGAAATTTAATGCATATTTTGAAAAATAAATAGTGTCATTACAATTAAAATAAGATATCAAATGGTTTTTGAACTCCTTGAACTCGACTCTATCATTTTCCACTTTCGGAAAAAAATATATTAGGTGTTGGGATATTGGCACGCAAATCTAGAAGTGTTTTAGGGCATTTTGTAGAAGATGACATCATCATGTACTTGCTTGTATGATAAATAAAACTCAGCCATGGAATCCCCTTCCCCTCCCCCCCCCCCCCCCCCCCCTTGCCTACATATGCAACCCCCTCTCCCCTTCCCCCACCTTACCTTCTTGTGTATACTCTTCTTCCAGAGTACAAAGTATGGCCTCTTATGTGCTTGACTTTTTAAGAAAGCATGGATTGCATGGGTGAATGAGACACCCTTAGTACTATAAATATAACTCATTTCTTCTCAGTTCCATCATAATTCATAGCCACAAACACTCTCAACCTCTCTCTCATTCTCTTGCTCTCCCTCTCGGCTATAAATAACCACCGGAGGTGGCCCTTCCACCGTTGAAAACCACCATCCCTTCACCCCTCATTCGACGATCAACCACCACTCAACATCCCCTACCACCTGCTTCCACCTTCCCTCTCCCTCCTTCGTTATTTACTGGCATCGGATAGAAGAAAAACAGAAGCAGAGAGGCTGCTGGAGTAGCCCTCGCCACCGCTGCTGCATGTTGGCAGTCCCCACCATCACCGATGCCACCCTCCTTCGACCACACAACCCCTCGTGTCCCATTATTTTCTATGGCAGTTTCCAAGTTTAAGTCTCGGGTTTATTGTTTGTTCATGAATCGATTTCAAGTCTAAAACTCGGGTTATATTACGTTGCTATCTTGCGGTGTCACCGAGCTCGATTATAATCTTGAATCTAAACCAAGTTCATGCTTCAAAGGTGAGTGCTACGGCCCCATTTTAAAGTTTTTATATATTTCAAGGGGGGGGGGGAATACATGTACACATAAACTAGTTTTCAAACTTGATATATACATATGTTTGATGGGTTTTACATGCAATAACGCAGATAGATCCTTATACACTTAAGGGTACATGCAACCTATTATATATAGTCATAACTCTATTGAAGTAACATTATAATGAACAACAAGAACCCTATAACCCAAGTAATTTCGAAAAACACAAAATAAAACATACCTCTTTATTGTTATAGTAAACAATCAAACAATCATTCTTGTAGTTGCTTGGAAATTAACACCAGAAATCTCGTGCCTCTGATAGTTCACACCCAATCTTAGCAACAAGGAGGCTTAAGAAATAGGAGAGAGGGTGGAGGATTTTTGGTTATCTCTTGGAAAGGAGGAGTGTGATAGCTTGATTATTTGTATATATTTTAGCAATCGTTTTCTTTTACTTTTAGCATTTTTATTATTCTTTTTGCATTAAATCGTTAGATTTATTGTTTTGAATATTTTACTCGTTTAAGCTAATTTTGTGTAGATTTGTTCGAGCAAGATGGTATTTTGGAGCATCGTTAAAGCCATATCAAATTCCTTGCAACCGCGATTGAAGTCACATAGCAAAATCCATGAGCGAAAGAAAAACAAAGCGATATAAATTAAATTTTCGGATTTTGAAAGCTTTGCGCGGCTTTCTTCAAGCGATCAGAAGGAGGGGCAAACGATGTCCGATTGAGTTGAAAATTTACAGGAGTCTTCACAACTCATCAATCTTCGACCTCACCAAAAAGAAATGGATTCGGACATGTTTTGATATTAATTTTGGCCTCGTGAACAGCTGGGTAGAAGGCTGTCCAACAACCCATTTGGCAGCCCAACTAATTTAAAAGGCAGCTCATTATCTTTATTTGTCCAACAGCCCATGTTTCAATTTAATTGAGACCACTTTGAAGTTGTGCTGGGAATTGAACGCAAACTTTAAAAGATGCAGTAGGGCATCTCATTTTTAATTTCGCCGGCAGAGAAGAAAAGGGGAGTGACGACGCCTAGCTTGCTGTCTCCTCCTTCCTTTCTTTCTTTCTTTTATTGCTTATTTTTGGAACATTTCATTTTAAACAATATTATCATTGATATTTATTTACGTCATGATTTTATTGTGTTATAATTAGTTATTTTCTTTAGATTAGATTAGGCTAATTTTTGTATCAATACTTTGATTATGGATGGAGTTTTTGGAGCAACAAGAAGTGACGATTTCAAAGAGCTTTTGGCATCTTCATTTCGTAATCGGTACCGGTATAATTTTTTATCTTTTTTATTGTTATTATTATTTTGTCTAGTTAGTTTTTATTTTCAGTATTGGGTGACCCTATGGAGCAATTAATTGATTAGGAATAGTTTTGTGTGGTTTTGATGGTATTCTATGAAAATATTTTCTAGTAAAACATCTATTTATGTGCATATGTCTTTAATCATGAGTTTAGATATGTGAATGTTTAATTAGTTGGTTAATTTTTTGATTACATAATAGATCTTCAAATTAACAAGCAACAAATGGTTCTTGTGATTGTTTTTCTTTCACACAATCATGAAAATATTTTCTCCAACATGGCAGTGAAAAACATTTTGACTCCTTTTGGATTTGGTGACTTTTTGGTTCTTAATGCTAGTTAATTTTCATTAATTACATGCTTCATGGAAATTATGACTTTAACTAAGAAAATGTGTTATGAGTTTTCTAAACATTGTATTAACTAAGAAAAGTCTAGGTGATCTCAAGCTTCTTAGATTGTTATAGCCAAATTAGTATCCATTAAACCCATTGCACCACAAAATTATGATGATTAGTCAATTAATTGAACTCGCGATTTATCCCGATATTGAAATGTTTTGTTTTATATATTTTCTATTTTGTTATTTTAGCTTTTCTATTTTGTTTTGATTTGGATGAAATTGATCAAGAACAATCAATTATTCTCTGTTTGATATGAAAATCAAGGATAGATTCATGGATTTGGGTT